AATATGTAATTGCAATTTTGATTTTTTCTGGGGTTCATAGGTTATCTAGGAGATACTTTCTTTTCTTTTTTATGTCTAAGGGAGAGAGAGTGAGAAAGCATGAGCAGAGTGAGGGAGGTACTGGGGGAGAGGGAGGGAAGAGAGACTCTTAAGAGAATCTTCAGCAGGCTCCCAGGCTCAGCACAGAGCCTGATGTGGGACCTGGTCCCACCACCCTGAGGTCCTGACCTGAGCTGAAACCAAGAGATAGTCCTTTTTTTTTTTTTAAAATTTTAAGATTTTATTTATTTATTTGAGAGAGAAGGAAGAGATAGTGAGATAGAGTATGAACCGAGAAGAGAAGGGGAAGCAGGCTTTTCACTGAGCAGGGAGCCTAATGGGGGGCTCCATCCCAGGACCCTGGGATCATGACCTGAGCCAAAGGCAGATGCTTAGCTGACTGAGCCACCCAGGAGCCCACTAGGAGATATTTTCTTAATTATTAATTTATTAATGGCTTTTAAAAATGGCTATTTTCCTATAAATTTCTAATTTTTGTGTTATTGTCAGAGATAATGGCCTATAAATTTTTTGTCATGATCGCAAAAGGAAAAGGCTCAAAAGGAAAAAAAAAGTACAGTCTCAAAACTTAAGGAATAAGTTTCTGTAATTGTTAAATAAAATTTTTTTCACAATATTATTCAAATCTTCAATATTATTATTTTTAAAATAGGTGTGATCCACCAACCTCTGAATAAATACAGTAAAATTCCCCATCATATATACATTTTCAAATTCTCCTTGAATTGCTAGGAGTTTCTGTTTGATGCAGTTGTCTGCTATGTTGTATCCAGTTTTATGACTGTTATATTTTCTTTGTGGGTGTATTTATGTTGTCACACAATATTCTTCTTTGTCTTTCTTAACACATTTGTCCTTGCATTTGCTTTGCCCAATATTGCTACTCCTGCTTTCTTTTTGCTCACCTTTGCATGGTCTACTATTGTCTAGCTCTTTACTTTTAACGTTTTTCTTGTAAAAAAGAGTGTTTTAAAAAATATTTACTCATTTATTTTAAAGAGAGAGAGAGAGAGAGAATGCACGTTCGAGAGCATGAAGGGGGGAGGCGGAGAGGCAGAGAGAGAAGCAGATTTCCTGCTGAGCATGGAGTCTGATGTGGTGCTCGATCCCAGGATCCTGAGATCATGACCCAAACCTAAATCAAGAGTCAGATGCTCAACCACTGAACCACCCAGATATCCCCCAAAATGTATGTTCTATTTAAATAATGCACCGTTAGATTTTATTTATTTATTTTAAAGATCTATTTATTCATTTGAGAAGGGGAGTAGAGGGAGAGGGAGAGAGAATCCTAAGCAAACTCCATGCTGAGCATAGAGCCCAATGCAGGGCTCGATCTCATGAGCCTGAGATTACAACCAAGGGTCAGATGCTTAACCAACTATGTCATCCAGGTGCCCCTAGATTTTATTTTTTAATCCCATCTGACATCCTCAGAATTTTAACGGAAGAATTAATTCTGTTCATGTTTTTGTGTTAGTGAATGTACTTAGGGTTTAGGGCTTTGGTGTTATTTTGTGTTATCTATATCCATTTGGGAAGTGCTTGACCTGACATAATGGAATATCTGGCAAATAGTTGCTTAATTAAATCAACATTTCATGTTTATATTATCACATTTCATTTGATAATGGTACAACTGTATTCTTCAAAGTTTGTTATTTGTCTCAGATGGTGAGGCCTCTGGAGGTCCCTGCATGGCTAGTAGGAGCATAGCTGCTCAGGAAAATCATCAAGGCCCTGCCTCCTTCTCTCTTTGTGCTTCCTGGTCCTTAGCTGTGGCTTTCTTCCTCACGGTGGCAAACATCTTCTGGCAATTCCTGGCTTCATGTCTTCATTCCAGGGAGGAGGAAGGAGGAAATAAAAGAGGAGGGGTGAGTGGATTTTTCCTAAGGAGATTTCCCTTTCGGTTCAGAGGGGGAAAGCCCTTTACTAGGAATTCTGCTTACATCTGCTTTGTCAGAAACTGGGGACATGTGGTTCTCCTAGACTGATCCCTCGCGAATTCTACTTGCCCTTTGAGGCTGGCATAGAAACTTGCCTCTCCTCAAGCTGCAAGATTCCTACACACCCTGAGCAGATGTGGATTTTCTGATAAGGGAGGATGGTGGGGTGGAGGGGCGGTAGCTGGGCAGTGACACTGTCTGCTCTAATAGCTACATAGTGTTTGTTTTCTCTTGCCCTTCACAGATCTTTGCAAGATTGATAAACCTCTTATCATTTATTTCCCCCCACTATTAATCTGGAAGTTTTAGAATTTTAATAGTGTTTTATCAGTCATAACTAAGCCTGTGTTTCTCTATGACAATGTTGCTTTTACCATGCAAAAAAGTAACAGTAGCCTCCTTATATTAGTCAGGGAATTAATGCTGCCTTAGGCAATGGATAATCCCTGAAATTTCAGTGGATTAGTATAAAGAAGGTTTATTTCTTGATGTGGATTGGGTAGCTCTTCTGTGTCACTGGCTTTCAAACCCTCATGGATCAGGCTGCTTCTTTCCTCGCAGTAGTGCCATCTTGGATGAGGTGGGTGGATGAGAGACAGTATATGGAAAAGTCACACCAACTGCAATAGTCGCAGCCTGAAAGGGTACAGATCACTTCCTCTGACATCCACAGTCTAAAATTCATTCACATGGCCACATGGAATTGAAGGGGAGCTGAGGAAAGTAGTCATGTGGTGGGCTCAGGGAGGAGAAACGGAGTGCCAGACTGTATGGTGGTGGTCACAGATTGTCATTCTGGTCCTGCCCACATTGCGTTCTCCTCTTCCATATAAATACACTCACCATCACCTTAAGGGGATACTCTCAAGTCCCAGGCAGTCACAGCATCCAGCCGGAAGTCCACAGTCTGCATGGGTTCTGCATTAATCTCTCTAATGTCTGGGTGTGGCTGAAAAGTCATGTCATCTAAACACCCTCCTCCTTTACGACACAGTGTGCAGCGGTAGAGTGGAGTGAGAATGTCCACTATGGAAAAGGGGAGAATGTGAGCCCTACTTGGTCACTAGCTGATAGCATTCCTGCAGTCCCCACAGGTCAGGCTGTGCCGTTTTCCTGCCCCGGCACTGAAGGGACAGACTTCAATAAGGGTAGGACTGTGCCCTCGAGGAGCCGCCTCCCTGTTCTTTGCTCCCCGTGGCCTCATCTGAAGTGAGTGTTGAGGACCACGCCCTCCTTGACCCCTACTGTCTTTAAAACCTTCTTCTTGTCCATTCATTGAGGTTGGGTACCTAAGAGTGGTTGACGTCTTGAACAAACAAAGGCTTTTTTCAGCCCAGACTCAAAAACTTAGGAGGCTTCTGATCTGTTCGGTTCCATGTTCCCGTAACCACATCTTTTCTAGACATATTTTGCAAGTTGATTGCCATTCTCTGCCTCTAATTCCCTATACCTCTCCTTTGAACCGAAGGACATCTATCTATCCCAGGCTCTTTGAAAAATATCACAAGAGATTGCACTCTTAAGGCACTTGTGTTAGCCTGACTCCTCTGACAAGCAGAGACAGGGATGGGGTTACACACACAAGCACTTTATTCAGGAAATAAAACTGTCTTCGTGGGAGAGAAGTGACAGAGTCCTGGAGGAGTGTGGGAGAGCCATTGTGTAGCAACACAGGCTTGACATTGAGTGAAGGAGGTGTGGAAGGCAGAGGTGTTCTAGGCAGGGGGGAGGGTTCTAGACAGTCGTGCAGCCCGAGGGAGGTTTGTCAAGGCGTCATTGACATTGCCCATCCGAAGTCTGCTGTCCTCCAGGAACGGGCCCACCACAGTCCGTCAAAGGCTGGAGCCACCTCTGGGAAGCATGGTGGCCGGCAAACACAGGCGCGCAGGAACTGAGAGCTTGCTCGCTTCAGCTCCCCTGCAGTTGGATGACCGTGGAGCACATTCTGGCCACCACAGTGTTCTGTGCCCTTGGTCACTTTCTTTACCTTAGAAGTTCTATTGGGCTCTGTCATGCAAACTTTAAAAAGATCCCCTCTTTGGTACTTTGGGCCCTAGAAGCAGGTGGTTTTTCCCAAGCCTACAAAGTCCCAGATTGCTGTGTTCTCTCTATTCCCTTTCATTTTTACTTGCAAAGCACTCAATTCTTTCTGTAACTCACTTCTTTCTCTTAACACCTTGCTGAACACAGCTGCTGGCCAGCAACACGCACCACCAGCGTCCTGTTCGCTCATCTCTTGCCTCAGAGTGGCAGGTTTGGAAGGCGTGAGGGTCTGCCTTTCCAGTTACAGCGACTGCCGATTTTATCAGATGTTTTGCTCTTGTGTCAACACGGACCCCTAGCCATTCCTTCTGTCTGCTGCGGAATTTCACCTCCTTGCCAAGGAAATGACACGTAGTTGATACTTCTGTTCCTTCACCATCCGGCTACGGGGATCAATTTCCATTTTAGTCACGGTGATCAATGGAATTTGTTGCAACAGGTGAACCGAGCAATCTCAGTGGCTTAATAGGGCGCTGGTTTATTTCTTGCTCATGTTACAGGTTGCTGTGGGTCAGGGGCCTAGGCTCTGTATCTTGCGGCACTGTCTCCAATTCCTTATTTCCAGCCAGTGGACAGGAGGGAGGGAGAGAGAGAGAAGGCACGGACAGACGGACGGACGCACTCTCTCCTGCTGTTCTGTGTGCTGAAGATCTCCGAGGCGCTCAGCTGCTGACCCCAGTTCCAGCCTCGGGCACCTGCTTCAGCGGGCTGACCTGGTAGCTGTGTTGCTCCCTGGAGAGAGTGGGAAGGAAAGGTGGAAGTGGACTTGCACTCAGGCTGATATCTCTCTGGGAGGCTTTTTGTAGACGACAACGTTGTGTAGAGACAACATTGTGTAGAGACAACATTTTGTAGAGACAACACTGTGCATCATTGGCCAACCTAGCTCCTGGACTGATTATAACTCAGACCTGTTTCTTCTTCCTTCCTTGTTCCTCCTTCTGCTGTGAGGCAGCAAGCGACAAGCACATCCAGTGGCTCCTGGGGGCAGATGGTGACGTCTGGGTCTGGATCATGGGAGAAGGTCCTGGGGACAAGTCCTACGAAGAGATCTCCGAGGAGCTGATTGCAGAGAGGGCGAGGCTGCAGGCCCAGAGGGAGGCAGAGGAGCTCTGGTGAGAGGTGCAGATGGGTGTTGGGTGGGGTCTGCACACGGAGCCCAGGATGGGTCCAAGCTGAAGGACCAAAGGCTGTGGGTGGAAGGGAGCAGGTCCCAGGCAGCAGGCTGACCCTGTTGAGCTCAGCTAAGATTAGGGGACCAAAGATCAGAGTCTTCATCAGGTAGATCTCGTAGGCTCAGATCCTGGCTCCCCCAGGGAGTAGTAAGCTGATCTGGGGTCTCGGTTTTCACATCTGTGGTATGGGCCTAACACCCTTTCCATCTGGATGTAGTTTGGGTTCACTGAGATACGATAGATGGGACAGTAGAGGAACTGGATTCACTATTGTCGTCTGCTTGTTCCTCTTTCTTTTAGCTGCATTTTGCACCCAATGTGGATAGTTGAGTCCCTGGTGAGATTTGGAGTCAGACTTCTTTCATAAACAACTTTTAACTTTTTTTTTTCCCCCCAACTTGGAGAGCCATATGAAGTTGACTCCAACATTTCACCCCATAATTTTTAATGACAGTATTTTAATTGTAAATTTGTAACAACAACTCAACAGCCACCACCTAAGATAACTATGGTGAGCATTTAGGCAACACCTTGATAAATTGATTAATATAGATACACAGCGTTATTTAAGATTACTATATGGTATCCTATTACATGAGAAACCCAACTTGATGGTCTTGTGGATGGACATTTAGGTTGTCTGCCAATTGTTATGTTATAGAAATCCTCTGATGAACCTCTTCTAGCTACACCTTTGTGATCTTGAGTGAGAAAAAGGATTTCTGAGTCTTCCCCCCTCCCCCCAACCCCGGCTTCCAGAACAATTCGGGTGATTTACACTACCCTACAGGACAGTGACTATTTTCCCACAACTTTGCCAGCATTGAGTTTTGGCATTCTGATAGACCAAGGCATATTGCTCCTGGTTTTCATTTGAAGTCCTGTGGTTATGTGGTCCTTCAGTTTCCTACCTGAGCTCATAACTGCTGGTGTTCTCTTGCAAGGAGACAGAAAGAGGCAGAAATCACCAAGAAGTTTCGGGATGCTCTGGCCAATGAGAAAGCCCGGATCCTGGCGGAGAAGTGGAAAGTGGAGATGGAGGACCGGAAGGCTGCCAAAGTCCTGGAGGAACGCATCCGTGAAGAGTTCAAGGTGAGTCAGCCTGTGGGGCATCTGCGTGCGGCCACCAACACCAGCTCCCAGGCTACTGGTGCCCATCTCTTGGTTGGTACTGAATGCTTTATGGGAACAGAAATCTTACATGTCCGAGCAGGGAGGAATGTAACTCCCCATTTGAGTCAATCCACTTCTCATTGGATAGATGAGGAAACTAAGTGTTAGACAGAGGAAGAGTCTTGCCAAGGACATTGTGTAGGAGGGGATGGAAACAAGACCAGAACTCAGACCTTCTGTCTCATAACCCAAGGGGCTTGGAAAGGGATCCAGAAAGTGCTAAGTTTGTGTTCAGACCAAACTGGGATCCAGTTCTAATTCTCCTGGTTAGTCTTGTGTGACCTTGGAAAGCTTGCTGAACTTCTCTTAGCCTTCACTTTCTTGTTTATAATATTAGAGTAACAACAGCCCCATCTTAAGATTTTTGGAGGATTCAAGGAGATGAAAAATGGACATTTTCTGGCCTTGGAGAGGGAGTTGTTGGGAACCTTGCATTTGTACTCATTCTGGGAATGTTAGGACCTAGTAAAAGAGCTTTATTTACACTGTCCTCTGGTAAGAAACTTAGGTTAACTGAAGAAAAAATTGTTTTTCTGGTTCCTATTTTACAATTTACTTTTTTCTATAGGAATAATAAATTGGGAGGGGGAGAAAACTAAGAAAATACATATAAGTGAAAAGAAGAAAATAAGAATCATGTCAACTCCCAACAATCATATTATTTTATGAAATGTATGTTCAAGGCAGGCAGGCGGAGAGAGAGGGGGAAGCAGGTTCCTTGCCGGGCAGAGAGCCCAATGTGAGGCTCGATCCCAGGACCCCGAGACCATGACCTGAGCTGAAGGCAGAGGCTTAACCCACTGAGCCACCCAGGCGCCATATATATTTACCAAACATTTAAACATTTTAATAATACTTTTCCCTATAATGATTAGACAATGAGGACAGTGGCCTCTTAAGATCATTTATGTTGCAAATTATTTTTCTCAGAGGATTTTTTTTTTGAAAGAGAGAGAGAAAGCAGAGGGAAGGGCAGAGAGAGAGAGAGAGAATCTTAAGCAGGCTCTACACCCAGGGCAGAGCCCCAGGCGGGGCTCCATCTCACAACCCTGAGATCATGACCTAAACTGAAATCACGAGTCAGATGCTCAACAGACTGAGCCACCCAGGGGCCTCTCAGGATTGTTTTTTTCTTAATTTTGGTTGTAGTGCTTTCAGGTGTACAGAAGATTAAAATTTTTATTCGCCAACTACATCAAGGTTTAAAAAAAAGATTTGTTTCATGCTAAGAAAGATCTGTGTCACTACAAGCTTGTACTTCTATTAATCTACATTGTTCTATTTATTGTTCGTGATTTTATTTCTCACTTCTTCTCCTTCCACATGGTCAGCACACTGTGCCATGGTTGTTTACTATATAATCTCTCCTCTCCCCTCTCATAGCACTTGCTGCCTTGAATCTTCTTACAGACCTTTGGATCTCTTCATGGATTTTTTTTCTTTGATTTTTCCTGAGCCAGATTTGCTTATTTAATGACCATAGCATTTAAAATGAGTTTTGGGGCTCCTGGGTGGCTCAGTCGTTAAGCGTCTGCTTTCCGCTCAGGTCATGATCCCAGGGTCCTGGGACTGAGCCCTGCATCGGGCTCCCTGTTCCATGGGAAGCCTGCTTCTCCCTCTCCCCCTCCCCCTGCTTGTGTTCTCTCTCTTGCTGTGTCTCTGTCAAATGAATAAATAAAATCTTTAAAAAAAAGTAAATAAAATGAGTTTTAACAACTGCTAAGGTAAGAACCTATCATTGCTCTTCATTTTTAAGATGTCCTTGGCTGATTCTACCCATTTTTTTTTTCTACTCAAGATACATTTGAATCCTTGCATCACTATCTTCCTCCCACAAACACACATACACACACACACACACACACACACACACACCCCACAGTGATTTTAATTGGAATTACATCAGCCTTACAGATGTATTTGTGGAGGACGGACATTTTTTCCAATACTAAATCATTCAGTCTTGTTCCGGGTATGGTATGGTCTCCCAGTTACTTAAAACCTCTTTTTGTCTTTGGTAAAGTGATTTTGTTGTTGTTTGTTTGTTTTTTAAACATCTGTAAATGCACGGGCCACCCAATCCCAAACATTCACAATAACTTATATGTAATGTTGTGCTTTCATCTTTTGGGCTTTGGTAAAATTTATTGTTTTACTTATATGTTCCACATCTCTTTTCTTGTTAAACCGTAGGTTTAATATTTGTTACTATGATTGTGAATAAGATTGTTCTTAAAACCTAGTGTAATTGCTGGTTACATATTTATATGTTATTGATCTTATTTAATTTTCCCTTGAGGCTTTTATACACACACACACCACACACACACAGATACACACACACACACACACACAGATACACACACACAGACACACACACATATGATTCTCTTGAGTTTTTAAGGGAAGCGATAGTTACTCTCCAAACCTTTTTTTAAAAGTGATTTCAAATTTGCAGCAAAATTGGAAAAAAAAGTGTTCGTAGAGTTTCCACTGAAATTCACCAATTATTAACGTCTTGTCACATTTGTGTTGTCTCTTTTCTCCCCTCCTCTAAATTTGCATCTATCTGTACACACACGGATATATACACACACATACACACGTATATATTTCTGTCGTGACTGCTACATTGTTTTGTTAAGCAATTTGAAAGGAAGCTGTAGCCCAGGGCTTACCAAACTCTTTTCTGTAAAGGTCCAGATAGTTAATATTCTAGGTTTTGTCAACCACACTTTCTCTGTCACAACTACTCAATCAGGCCATCGTAGCACAAAAAGCAGCTGCAGGCAATATGTGAGCAAATGGGTGTGGCTGTCTTTTAATAAGACTTAATTTTTTTTTAAAGATTTTTAAAATTTATTTGACACAGAGAGAGAGAAAGAGAGAGAGTGAGAGTGCGCATGAGTGTGGTGGAGAAGGGCAAGGGGAGAGGGAGAAGCAGAGGCTGGATCCCAGGAGCCTGGGATCATGACCTGAGCCAAAGGCAGATGCTTTACCGAGTCACCCAGAAGCCCGCATAAGACTTTATTGTAAACAATAGACAGAGGGTAGATCTGGAGTTTGCTGACTCCTGATCAAACCGTATGTACTTCATTTTGCATCTCCCATGACCGAGGACCTTTCCCTGTAGAGCCACAACAATCATTGTCACACCTGCTGAAATGAACAGTAATTCCATAATAGTATAAAAATCCACTCAATCCATAGTGGAGAGATGTTTAGTTTATATGGTTGGATTTTGCATCTGATTATTTAAGCCTGCTGGAGAAGGCAAGCAATACTTTCTATGTATCTCTAAGAGCAAGCATCCCCTCTCCTAATTTCTGGTCTCCCTCCGCCCCAGAGGTGATCTGAGTCCTAGAGGCTGGGAAGGTGGCTTCGTGGAGCTGGAGTTCTGGGGCTCAGTCCACAAGGAGATTACAGGGGGGTTGAATTCCCAGAGCTTTTCTGATTGATGATCTCCTTGAGAACCTCAGTGAGAGAGATGATAAATTGTGGGGTACTCCATGTCAGGGTTCATGGAGAGCTCAGAAAAGCTATGAGGTTTACCAAGGGACCCAAATGCAGGCTTTGGGTGTTATTTATAAGGAGGGCTATGGTAATGATATGTTTGTTTTGCTTTAAAAATTAATTTGCTACCTGTGAACGTTCAAACTTGAGTACTCATAGTGATCCTGATTTGGTATGCCTGTATTTTGAGGAACCTCAGACATGTGAGTAGCATCTGTGAGGTCCGGGTGGGCCTCCTCAGGGCAGTGTCTACTAGGAACGTCAGCTCATGGACTTGGAGTGGGCAGGTCCAGGTTTATGGGCTGGGATATTCTCTATAAATGGGCTGCCCTTATAGTGTCATGAACTCTTCATTCCAGGCGCTGTCTTAGCATGGGCTGAAACAAGACCTGAGAAGTTTCTGTGGTGGAATAAATACAGCTGGTGGCAAATTCTTTGTCACTTCTCTCTTTGAGACATGTTTATTTCCCTTCCCTTGAGTCTGCTCTGGCCTTGTGACTAGCTTTGATCTGTAGGTTGCAACCGGAATGACTCAGTGTAACTTTTGAGGACAGGCTAAAGGAGATTGGCGGCTTCTGGCCCTCTTGCAATGCTCCCTTTTGGAAGCTGCCCCCTGAGAAACCCTACAGCCTTCAACTACTGCTCTGTAAGGAAACCCGGGCAAGCCAGGCAGAGAGAAGGGGGCTGTGTGGAGGACACCGAGGCACCAGACACATGAGTGAAATCTTGGTTCTTCTGGTGAATGACCCTAATTAAGTGATTGACCTCAGATGTAACCATGTGGAGCAGAAGGGCCACCAAGCTCTGGCCGAATTATTAACCTACAGAACCACAAGCAAATATAGTGGTTGTTGTTTTAAGACATTGTGCTTTCCGGGAGTTTGTTGCCTGGTAATAGATAATGGGAACATCTCCGTCAAAGGTATTTATGCGTTGAACTAGAGATTGGCTCAGATAATTTTCATTGTGTCTTTCAACATCAAGATTTTAGCCAGATGTGAGTCTTGCATGCGGGGATGCACGAACAAAGTTCATTTAATTTCATACATTTTTTTCCCCCTTTCCCTGAAAACCTAAGTGCAGATTGTTTGTGGGAGGGGGGTGGTGGTGGCAGTGTAATAGTCATGAACTTCTTACTCTCTATAAGCTTACAGGGTCCTGGGGGGAGAGAGAGAGACAACTCTGTGAGCACTCCTGAGCCCCCAGCACACCTGGGGGACTACAGCAGGGTCCCCCTGAAGGAGGCTGGGTGTGAGCAGAGCTGGAAATAGACAGGAGATCCGTGGAATGGTGACTGGTCTGGTGGGGGAAGCCAGACAAGAACCTGACGAGGTAGGCCGTGGGGCCCTTGGATGCTACGATCAAGGGGCAGATGGTTGTCTGTGGGCAGAGCAGCGCTGTGAGGA